CTGAGATGTACTTGGCAGTCTGTTGAGATCCCAGCCCTCGCTTTCCTGGTTGGGCATGGTTGGAAGGGGACGCCCATAGGCCAAAGCGGGTATGAATAAAGCCTAAGGTTTACATTCACTAAAACGCTGTTTACATAATTTGCCAATTACTCTGGCTATTCAGAAATTTTCTTGTGCCTTCTACTGCGTGATTGCACAATATTTTTCAAATAATAATCCATGTTTTTGCAACAATTTGATACAATGCGTAAAAAAATGTCTTCTCGACCTTGTTCCACAGGAGGCGTTTAAAGCGCGTGCCACTTCCACTGGTGTAACAAACTTTCTTAAAAACAGACTTTAAAAGCTATGGAAGCAGCTTAAAGATCCTCCCGTGAGCTCATTATCTGTTCACTTATGAATCGTCGAAATATTTGGAGTAGCTTTGAAAATGAGGCTCGCGCGAGATAGGCTTAAAGCGTCTTTAGATATTAATGGCGTGGATGCTTCTAAATCAGTTGCTCAGATTTTCCGTTGAAGATCATTTTCTAAATCCGACCAAGTCATTTCGCCTTTGCTTAGTACCAACCATACCTTCATTACAGAAGAGTCAGGCAAAGCAGAAATGTAAACTTCATTCTTTGCCAAACATTTCGACATTGAAACTAACCCAATCCTTTTAATTCCTCCGTAGTTTGATGTCTCTCTCGGCATAATTAATATTTCTTTTAAAACAATTTAAAAACTGATAACCATATTCCTAACTTTCGCTCAGTAGGTGCAAACGATATCCCAAAATCTCTTACAAAAAAGCTAAGAGATTTTTCTCCTCTGTTTAGTTAGCTCTTTTCAGTATTTCTCTAAGTGGCTTCTTTTCTGCCTAGTGAAAAACTTTTATTATTATTCCAGTATTTACTTCTGGCTGTCGTACGGACGTTTAGAAATATCGAGGTATCCATAAATCCCCTTCGTTCGCCAAAATCTTTGAAAAATTACCGTCCTGTAAATTATGGCTTCTTCATAGCCAATAAAATTATTTGCCCTTTCCTGCATTCATTTTTTCACCTGATTGCTCTCAAAAAACATGTCATCTGTCGTTTCTTGATTTACTTACTTCTCTTTGTAACGACCATCTATCTGGCGTCGCTATTGATTTTGAGCTTAGTAAAGTCTTTGATAAAGTGCCACATAAAAGACCCCTGGTTAAATTAAATGCTATGGGATTTCGCAGTCAATTAATGGACTTTATCAAGTCATACCGGTCATATCGTAAACAAAAGGTTTTTGTGGGATCTTCACTTTCCAATGAAAGCCCTATTTTAAGTGGTGTCCTACAAGACATCGTTTTACGTTGTCTTTTGTTTCTGCTTTACATAAATGACATCTCGGCGAAAATTAAATATTATCAAGCATTTATTTATGCCGATGATGTCAAATGTGTACATTCATTCGAAAAATCTACGACCCTTCATTGCCCGAAGCAAATCCATACTGACTTGCTTGCTCTCTCAGCTCGGAGCTCAAAATGGCTAATGGAATTCTCTCCGTCTAAATGTCGTTATATGTGTTTTGGGCTTGAAAGGTTACCCCATCCAGTGGTCTTTTAAAGCACAACTATGTCAGAATGTACCACAATCAAAAAGTGAGGCTTAATCTACACAGATAATCTTGATCTCTCCCTACACGCTGACAGAATTCCGGCCACAGCTGCCCTGATTTTTGGATTTATTTCGTACAGTTTCTATCTTCCTGAAGTTAAGGCTCTTTCTAATGTTTGTACTTCCCATTCTCGAGTATTGTTGCCCATTCTTTGGTTTACTGAACGACGCAATTCGTTCATAAATTGAAAATGATCAAAGACAATCTACAAGAAAACCTTTAGGCATGGAATATGCAAATATCTGCTACTCAGATAGATGCCAGCTAACTCATCTAAACTCTTATGGATTCGAAGACTAGAAGCAGGCTTTCTGTCTTCTCTTTCGCATTAATATTAATTCTGACTGACTGGCTAAAATCTTTTACCAATTTTAGCATTTACCCCTAGTAGTCGCCCATACAATCTTAGCAGTTCTTCCTTGATTATACGTCCTCCCGCTTCGTCCATCTCTAAGCGCTCTCCTTTTTTAGCTTCCAGATATGCTTTCCTCTGGAATAACCTTCCAACGAATATAAGATCTTCAGATAATCTACAAAATTCTAAGCGAAGGCTACGTCTTTATCTTAATACTTACTTGACTAAACTCATATTTTCCTCATCCGTCCCAGACAACTTTTTCTATGACACCGAAAAAGGGCCACCAGGAATTTAGGATGCTCAGATTTCCCACTTTTGTTTGTAGTATCGCCTCCTGGGATCCCTTATAGCAGCTGCTTCAGTCCCCCTTTTCTCCGGCTCCGTATTGTCGTCGACGGCCACGTCAGTCGTTGACTGGCCGTTGACGCACGACCATCCTCGCCGGCTAGAACTTGGATCCCTCCTGTCCAGCTGCAGTGACTTCCGCCTGCCCTGACAAACTATTATCCCTTAACGTGCGTCGGACGACCTAGCATGATACCCGTGCGCCCCTGTGATTTTGCGTCCCCTAACCCTCCCTTAATCCGTCCAATCTCATGACTAGCAATCAGCCAGTCATCCCTACCTACTGACACAAATTATCACACCCGCATAAACTACGCACCGCAGCTGACGATCTCCGTGAACGGACGCTTGTCTCTGTTGCAAGCAAACGGCCAACTTACGGCAGCCTGTCCTGTGTACAGAATAAACTATTACTCACAACTCCCTGACTGCGGATATTAGCCTAAACGGACTTATTGTGTGTGGTTTGAGTTGATCTCACATCCTTGATCGCCAAACCCTCAAAAAAATGCTAAGTTCATTGATTTTCCAGCTCATGCATCCTGCCCCTCACAGAACGCGTTCTATCGACGCTTTTGGTGGTACCTTTTGCTTTAGCCATACACTAGTAGTCTGGTCACATCTGCCTTGCCCCCTTTTCGACTGGACTTGGCTGACTGTAGCTGATTGCATCTAGGTTTCTATCGCCTCGAGACCGGCTTTCTATTCGCTAATTTTACATGAATGACCTCATTCGGAATAGGAATCCTGCCCATTTCGAAACTTTTACCCAATACCACATACATTCCAGTCCCTCCTGATCCGCCTACTTAGCCCTTCATGAAATCCGTTATAAACTGCCACATACGGGCTAATCCTGCCTGCTTTTCATACATCCAGGAGCGAGTTTTTTCTCCTATAGTGTTAGTCCAATCACACAAATTTTGTATATATGTTAGGGGTTTTTTCACTGTTCGCTCATCATTCTTCGTAACATACTCTTTATAGTATAGATAAATTGTATTTATTGTTTGTATTGTATTGATTGTGCTGTAGTGTATCGGTGTATAGGTGTATTGTATAGGCATATTTTATAGGTGTAGTGTATAGGTATAGGTATAGTGTATAGTGTAGTGTATAGGTTTTGTAGGGGTGTCAGCGGTGGGTTCACGTAATGGTCGTGGTGGTCGCTCACTTGCTTGCAGGTGAGACTGCGCCTAGCGTCCACTTGCTGGCACTCAACTCTCACCTGTGGCTCCACGTAGCTGAACTCTGCTCAGCGGCCACACCCAGGGCAACCGTCTCGACCGGCGGGCTAAACCAGGTGAGGGGGCCCTGTGCGCTGTGCTGTGTGCACAGGGTTTGCGGATTCCGCTGGATGGAAGGTCGGGTGGAACCTTGCGTCGGCACCGTCGTGACGTGGTTCGTCTCTGCACGTCGCTTGACAGCCGGTGGCGGGATGGACCTCCATATCGACATCGTCTTGACGCGCCCACCCTCGCTGACGGAGACCGCGGCTTACGGCGAATTCGAATCGCTCTCCACTACAACCCGAAGTCGTGGTCCCATAGTGGAGTTCGGCCGTGCCACAACGGTACATTGCAGCACTATTCAGGGATGACACTGCCAGACCCACGAGGAGAAGGGCCTAGAAAAGGTGGCCTAAACACTGATGGGTACCACGCCGTCTGCAGGCTAGCCAGGGTCGCAGACGTCTAAACATGGTCGAAACAATCAAAATCGAAATAACAACTATACCAATAATAACAAAAACCATACTCATTCTCCTCATCCTACCTCTTCTTCCTCTACCTCCGTCTATTCTTCTGCCTATTCTTCTCCTAAGTCATATTCTCCTCCATCTCCTTCTCGTCGCCCCACTCGTTGTCACCAGACTGGCAGGGTGAGCGCGCTCATTCTGGCAGCCTGGAATGTTCGTTCCCTTTTAGACAATCCGAGGAGCAACCGACCGGAGCGGAGGACGGCGCTAGTGGCACAAGAACTGGCGCGCTACAAGGTGGACATCGCCGCACTCAGCGAGACCCGATTCTCCGAACAAGGCCAACTGGAGGAGGTGGGTGCTGGCTACACCTTCTTCTGGAGCGGTCGACCCAGGGCAGAGCGACGGGACGCGGGCGTCGCCTTCGCCATTCGGAATGACATCGTGGGACGTCTGCCCTGTTTGCCGCAGGGCATCAACGATCGCCTGATGAGCCTCCGCCTGCCTCTCCGGGGAGGCAAATTCGCCACCATTATCAGCGCCTACGCTCCGACTATGACCGACCCCGACGCCGTCAGAGACAAATTCTACGAGGACCTGCGCGCCATCTTGGCGACTGTGTCGAAGGCGGACAAGTTGATTGTCCTTGGCGACTTCAACGCCCGCGTCGGCACAGACCATACTGCCTGGAGAGGAGTGCTGGGTCCCCACGGTCTCCGCGGCTCAAACGACAATGGTCTGTTGCTTCTCCGCACCTGCGCAGAACACAGCCTCATGCTGACGAACACGTTCTTCTGTCTGCCGGAGCGAGAGAAGGCCACCTGGAGGCATCCTCGGTCGCGTCAGTGGCACCTGCTGGACTATGTCCTCGTCCGGAGGCGAGATTAGCGGGACGTGCTGGTTGCGAAGGCGATCGCGGAGGCTGACGGGTGGACCGACCATCGCCTCGTCATCTAGAAGATGCGTATTCGCCTACAGCCTCGCAGGAGACCACAAGGTAAGCGACCCCCAGGTAAGCTGAATGTTGCTTTGTTGTCTTTGCCTGCTCACCGTCTCCATTTCAGCAATGAGCTGGCTCAACGGCTAGACAGCCTTCCTATCGCTGCCGCCTCCGACGACGCCGCCGCTGCCGAGAACGCCTCCGTGGAAAACCGCTGGTGTCAACTGCGAGACGCGGTCCAGTCGATGGCGCTCGCCGTCCTCGGTCGCGCTCCCCGCCAACACCAGGACTGGTTCGACGACAACGACGCCGCCATCAGAAATCTGCTAGCTGAGAAGAACCGCCTACACAAAGCCTACGAAGATCACCCCACGGATGCCACCAAAGCTGCCTTCTACCGCAGTCACCGCCAACTTCAGCAACGACTGCGCGAGATGCAGGACGCCTGGACTGCTCGCAATGGTGAGGAGATCCAAGGCTACGTGGACCGCAACGAATGGAAGAACTTCTTCTCCGCGATCAAAGCTGTCTACGGTCCGCCGACGAAGGGCACCGCTCCTCTCCTCAGCGCCGACGACAACACTCTCCTGACTGAGAAGACGTAAATCCTGCAGCGATGGGCCGAGCATTTTCGAGGCGTCCTCAACCGCCCCTCCATCATCTCTGACGCCGCCATCGAGCGTTTGCAGCAAGTGGAGACCAACGTAGACCTCGAACTCCCACCATCTCTCCAGGAGACCATCAGAGCAGTGCAGCAGCTCTCCAGCGGGAAAGCACCCGGATCGGACGCAATCCCTGCTGAGGTCTACAAGCACGGAGGTCCCCAACTAATGGATCAGCTGACTGCGCTCTTCCAAAAGATGTGGCGTCAGGGTGAAGTCCCGCAAGATTTCAAAGACGCAACCATCGTGCATCTGTACAAGCGCAAAGGGAATCGCCAAGTTTGCGACAATCACCGCGGCATCTCCCTGCTGAACATCGCCGGGAAGATCTTCGCACGAATCCTCCTCAACCGCCTCAATAACCACCCGGAACAGGGCCTTCTGCCGGAAAGCCAATGCGGCTTCCGTCGTCATCTTGGAGCCACGGATATGATCTTCGCCGCCCGTCAACTTCAGGAGAAGTGTCAGGAGATGCGGACCCACCAGTACTCTACCTTTGTGGACCTGATGAAAGCCTTCGACACGGTGAATCGTGATGGACTGTGTAAGATCATGCAGAAATTCGGCTGTCCGGAGCGATTCACTCAGGTGGTGCGTCAGCTGCACGACGGTATGATGGCGCGAGTCACGGACAACGGAGCTGTCTCAGAGGCACTCGCAGTGACCAACGGAGTGAAGCAGGGCTGTGTGCTGGCGCCTACCCTCTTCAGTCTCATGTTCTCTGCCATGCTGATGGACGCCTACCGCGACGAACGCCCTGGAATCCGCATCGCCTACTGGACGGACGATCACCTCCTGAATCAACGGCGGATGCACTTCAAATCGCGCGTATCCACAGCCACCGTGCACGAACTCCTCTTCGCCGACGACTGCGCCCTAAACACCACCTCGGAAGTGGAGATGCAACGGAGCATGGACCTGTTCTCCGCCGCCTGCGAGAACTTCGGTCTGGTCATCAACACACAGAAGACGGTGGTGATGCACCAACCGCCACCCAACTCGGCCACAGCCCCCAACGCGCCGCCGCAAATCAGCGTGAATGGGACCCAACTGCAAGTGGTGGAGAACTTCCCGTACCTGGGCAGTACTGTCTCCCGCAACACCAAGATTTATGACGAAGTCGCCAACAGGATCTCGAAAGCCAGTCAAGCCTTCGGTCGCATCCAAAGCACAGTTTGGAATCATCATGGTCTCCAAATGAGCACCAAGCTGAAGATGTGCAAGGCCGTCATCCTGCCGACACTACTGTATGGAGCGGAGACTTGGACGGTATACGCCAAGCAGGCACGTCGTCTGAACCACTTCCACCTCAGTTGTCTTCGTCGCATCCTGAGGCTGAAGTGGCAAGATCGAATCGCCGACACTGATGTGCTGGAACGGACAGGAATCCTCAGCATCTACGCCATACTGAGGCAAATTCAGCTGCGCTGGAGCGGCCACCTGGTGCGCATGGACGACGAGCGACTACCCAAAGGACTCTTCTACGGAGGCGTCGCGACGGGTTCTCGCCGTCAAGGAGGCCAGATTCGCCGTTACAAGGATACCCTGAAGTCCTCCCTGAAATGCCTGCAAATAAACCCCACCAACTGGGAGGAGCTCGCACTCGATCGGCCGGCCTGGAGGAGGACAGTGAAGACAGGCGCTGCGATATACGAAGCCAACAGCATCGCTGCCGCCAAAGCCAAACGTGAAGCTCGCAAATCACAACCTCGCCCAGTAAGCAACTCCGCCGCACGACCGTTTCCAACGTGTCCTCGATGTCAACGAACATTCCGGGCTCGAATCGGACTTGTTGGACATTTTCGGATTAACTGCGCCTCTCGAATGGCACCAAACATCGTCCCCCCGCCTGCCTCTTCCTCCTCCTCTCCGCTGCCAACCAACCCTGACAATTCTTCCGACCCATCACTTCCACCATCCTCCTCCTTCTCATCATCTTCCTCCTCCTCCTCCTCCTCCTCCTCCTCCTCCTCGCCCACTGCTCCAACGGCAGCCGCTCAGGCGACTGTCCCGCGCACAGCAACCGATACTACCACCACCTCCCCCGACTCCAGGGATGAGAATCAGGACTACACCTGCCCTCACTGCGACCGTACCTTCACCTCACACATCGGTCTGGTCAGTCACTTGCGAATCCATCGCACAGAGACTGGCGAACCAGTGCGTGAAGCACCAACCTACACCCACCGCACTCGCCTCCGCTGCCCACACTGCCCTCGCACCTTTAGGCATCGCATGGGCCTTTTCGGCCACGTGCGCATCCACGAAAGCGGCCTTGACCGCACTCCCGATACACCCACTACATCCAACACATCCACCGTGCAAACCCCCACCCTCGTTCCATCCGTCCGCGACACCACCACCACCGCCGCCTCCTCTGTAGCTGACACTGACACCGCCGACTTCTTATGTCCACACTGTCCACGCACATTCACCTCACGCATCGGCCTAGTCGGTCACTTGCGGACCCATCGCACAAAGACTGACGAACCAGTGCCTGGAGCACCCACCTATACCCACCAAGCTCGTCTCAACTGCCCACACTGTCCTCGCACTTTCAGGCATCGCATGAGCCTATTCGGCCACATGCGCATCCATGACGACCTGCGGTAGACAACCGCCGGCCACGCCACACATTCACTCACTCCCTACCTCCTCCACCACCACCATCACCCCACCAGAAATCAACACTCACATACCTCATGCACCCAACTGCCACCTGCCACGCAAGTGGGAACTCCGCATCTCGACTCGGTCCCCATGCGGCTTCGGCTGCACGGGTGACTTGAGTCTGAGACTATCCCGACACGTCAAGCGTCGTGGATAGGAAGGTTGCTGATTGACGCCCGCTCACGGTTCACGCAGTTCGTCGCGTTGTGTGTGTGTTGTGTGGAGCGGCGGACTGGTGGGCTGGGCGACGACCTGAAGCAGCACCTTTCACGGCCCTCTTGCGCAAGTGAGAGACACGCTGTTCAACCCCCGTTGTGCGAAATCCTGGTGTGTGTGTTTGTATGGGGGCCAGCTCGTGCACGTGGCGCGTGCAGTCATGGTCAGTCGACCATGACAGCCATGGCGCCCATTTCTCACTCAGTCTGCTGACCGGCTCGGACAGCGGCTGGGGTGTGGGAGTGGGAAGGGAGAGTGAGGTCGACGACTCAGCGCACTTTCTCCTCACTATAAACAATCTGACGCGCTTGAAGCTATCACGGTGCGCTAAAAGCCGTGGCTTGGAAGGTTGCCAACTGACGGGGTAACTTGGACCTCCTCCTTCACTGGAGGCGGTCTGAGAGTCAGGCTGCAATGGCTCCTTTTTATTGTGGCCTTTATGGCACTCCCATCACAGTGTGGGATCCGAGCCAGGCGTTGGCGGCACGCCCAGGTGCGGCTTCGGCCGTGCCAGCCTCCAAATCTCTGTTGTGTTGGTTGAAATCCTGGTTATTTGTTGTGTGGACCAGGGGGTGTGGTTGAACGCCAAGGTGAGGATCCGTCCGAGCCATCCACCTGCGGCCTCTCTCGTCTCCGGTCTTCTTGACACTGTCTTGACACCGGGCTCGGGCGAGGGAGGAGGAGATAGTGTAGGTAGATGCTACGCAAGTCCACCGGCACTATAAACCCCTGCGTAAGTCACCGTCCCTGCTCCCATTGCTGCTGCAACTGTGGGGCACACGGTGGACATCATCAAAACCGATGGTCGAACTGTCATCTTATAGGTTAGTTATACTCGTTCCAGAATTCCAAAATTAATGAGAAAGATATTCTTACATGTTCTGAACCGACTCCCACGGTTGTTCAGTGAAGATTATTATTATTAGTTCCGTCTTCTTCAGAAGTGGGGGCAGGTGTGAAGTGTATGCTCTGTAGATCCTCACAAAGGGTGAAGCTTTCACGAAACAGGGACGGTCGTGGCTTGGACGTCTGCCGAATTGCGATTAACTCGGTCCGACGTAGAATTGTAGGTCCGACTGCAACGCAGGGCCACTTACGCGTGATTTGCCTAATCAATAAAGAAATTCTTCATATGCGGAATTAGAGGCATGTTTGCATGCAGACCGCATTGACAAACTATTTAGCTTTGTTAGTTACTGTCCTGCCAATAACCTTCGGTCTTGTCAGCTTTGTTTGATCGTCTGAGCCGGTAGAGCGCGTGTAGGAAGCGGCGATAGGTTTGAGTAAGCCACGTCTGTGATGAATTGGCGAGTCTAGAGGAAACTCAGGCGTTGCGATTGTCGTACGTTAAACTGCAAATTTTTTGTCGTTCAGTTCGGCTGGCCGATCTCTCGACACTCTAATAAAGATAAAACTGCTCCCAAATGGCACTGATGTCCGCACACTAAGTTGTGCCCCTTGAGTTCTTGCCAAACAATAAACGGCAGAGCAGAGACTTATATTTAACAGCCCTTAAAATCTACGGTGTCTAGGACCTGCTAGGTTTGTCATTGATTTATTCGTCCGCAGCATGACGAATGTTGTGTCATCCCGCACAGCTAGGACATTTTATCTTCTCCTCGTCACACTAAAACCGATACCGACAAAATAATATTTCTGCTGAACTAAACGTCAACTGTTGACCTTAAGTTTGCTATGAAAGTCCATATAAAAGGTGTCTTAGAAACTTTAAAGTATCTTCATTCCGTAACATCTTTTCACAGAACCCTGGAGGACCTGTGAGCAACATTACGAGGTTTTCATGAAGTCTAATGAAGCAAGAATATATGAGCCAGCACAATGCTTCTCCTTGTGGCTGTTAGGTCCCACAGGATAAAGTTATATGGAGGAAACCCTGTCGCATGCCCAGTTGTCGTTCATATTTTAATCTTGACGTAACGGATAAACAAAACGTTTGGTTTCCTGAAGTTCGGCTATCGTAAGTAAGTTCCATTCGCAGGTTGAGTTGTGATGAGTCTAGTGGGAGCAAACAACTTTTGTTATTTTTAGAGAATTGAAATTGTTTGGGTCAACTCGTCAACCTGTCGAAATCTCATCCTTTGGCTCTACCGGCTCATCAAGGTAGAACCGTGATGTCTTTGAATCAGAACCACGTTTGACTACGTAACAAAAATTAATAATCATCACAACGTTGTCAAAATAGCCTGTTGCAAATTTCTGGTCTTTCGGAATTCGTCGGGGGAATTCCTGTTTGACCACGTAAAGAAATCCATCGTAAATCGCTAACGATGGGCGTACGTAGGAAGTCAAAGCATCGGGGTAATTCGCAGGTAAACTGAGTGCTTACCTTACTTGCATCAGACAGATATGCAAATCGATATGCAAAATTTTCTCTCTTATCAAATGAGACGATTATTGAGAATATTATCGTAAAGATTAGTGGTGATCCGCAGGGACAGTGTTAATCTCCTTTCTGAGGTTAAGATATGCATTTTTCTTTTGAACTTCATCAGCCAAGACTGTTTCTAGAAGAAACGTCTTTAGCATTCGTTTTGCTGGACTATGTTTACATAAACAACAACATGTTTAGTGTTTTTCATTTTCGTTTTATAACATGAATCAAAACTAAAGCACGTTGTTTGCGTGCATGGTATTTTCGATGTATGCCACATTATTTTCAGCAAGCATAAAAACAGACCATCAGCCCTTAACGATCCTGCCAACACATGGCCCCGCCTTGTGGGTGTGGCCAAGCGTGGCTGGACGTGGTCATGGCCGCACCATATTTTGAGAAATTTCAAGAGTCGTTTCAGCCGCTTAGACGAAATTTTATGTGTTTTAGTGTCGCGCATTTGCCTAAATATACGTTAATTCACCCAGAAAGTGCCTTGAGTCTTCACTTATTGTGGAATTTAAATTTGCCTGGGTAAGCCGATTAGGACGCTTTTGTTTAAGTGGGGCCACTTGGACGCCATTTTTCTGCTGCTCCACCGGACGCTCGCGACAAGGTGGTACGTTTTCCCACGTCGATTTCATGTCTGTCGCGTCTTTATGGTTTTACTTACGCAATAACTAATCTCTTTTATGCTATGCAAGTAGGTTTACTAACTTAATTACAATTTTAATCTCAAAGTGAACGTTTCAAGTGCAGTTCAATTTTTTAAGCTTGTTTTATACCCATCAATGAAAGCAATCATGAAGCGCAAGTATTATGTCTTCCATCGGAGCACAATTTACAAGCGAATTGCACGTGAGAATAAGGCATATTATGCGCGGATGGCTGATCCCTCCGTTCCCTCTACGTCATCGGTCGTAGACAAACCACCGGAAATAGAAATGGCCTAACTAGTCTCAGAAGTTTGCACTGGTAGTCATCTTAATGTGTTACTCAATAGCAAATTTAGAGCCAGTAGACATAAGCGAGGACGTAGTCGCAGGCAAATGCTTTCTGGCGGATTTGCGGGAATTCTGCTTGGAGGCCAAAATGCCACTATCCACAACAAATAAATTGTTTCGGATGCTGCGGCCCTACCACCCAGAAGTGGCTGAAGACCCAAGATCGCTATTGCAAACGCCTCGGACCTGCGTTAGCAAGCCCCTGAACAAAGGCAACTATGTTCATTTAGGTCTTGAACGTGGTCTGCTGGATCAACTGCACGGTCTGCCCGAAACAAGCGTTCCTGAAATGCGCATCCAACTGCATATCTACCGAATGAAGATATTCAAGTGGTCTTGTCAAGGCCTGTGGACCATTCTTGCCCGTTTTCGCCATCCAGTTGTCGGTCAGCCCTTCATTGTTGGAGTGTTCTCCAGTCCCGGCAAACCCGATCCGTTGGATGACTTCCTGGGCGACTGTGTTGGTGAGCTGAAAGACCACCTGGTCAGTGGTCTGCGCATTCCACATACACAAAATAACGTAAAGGTGGTCTTAGACAATGTTATCTGTGACACCCCCGACCGATGTTTTGTGCGGCAAGTTAAAGCTCACAATGGCTATTACGGGTGTGACAGGTATGTTGTTTCGCACCTTTAACTAAAACCACCGCAGGTGTTCCCATATGGGCAAACGTATTGAAAACCGCATGACGTTTCCAGTATGCAGTGGGCGTCTGCGTGAGGAAAGGTCATTCAGGTTGCGAAGACAGGAACCGCACCACAAGGACAGGTCTCCGTTCGTGGATTTGCCCGTCGATATGGTGACCTCCTTCCCACTCGACTATATGCACTTGGTTCGCCTGGGTGTCATGCGGAAGTTACTGCATATTTGGCGTCTGGGCTCCAGCAGGCACTCTGACTCATTGAATGAATGTATTAAGATGTGCAGCCAAAATTTGCCGGCCGAGTTTTCGCGTAAATGCAGAACACTCGATTGTCTAGAGTTTTGGAAGGCTGCCGAATACAGACAATTCCTACTGTACATAAGCCCCGTCGTTTTTTCCTCCGCATTAAGCGAAGCCCGGTTCCAACACTTTTCAAAATTTTTCCTCGCAGTGCACATATTTTGCCATCCCATATTGCATGTATCTTGCGGAGAATACGGCCGACCTTTGTTAAATCGCCTTGTTGTTAATTTTCCCACCTTGTATAATCCCTCCGATATTATTTACAATGTCCATTGTTTGCTTCACCTGTATGACGATGTGTCGCGCTTTGAAGTGTTAATTAATTTCTCGGCATTTCCTCTCGAGTCCTTTTTACAAAGTGTCCGCAGCAGTATAAAAGGGCCT